TTCATTATCTTTCTTGGACCATCTTTTCGGATTTTCGCTGTCCACAACTCTTGACGCCAGTTGGGTCTTGAATACATTTCTGTTGTGAAGCGCTTGTTCGTATGTCCCGCCAGATATGAACTTGTAAACATATACCGGCTTTCGCTGGCCAATGCGGTACGCTCGACCCACCGCTTGTTGCTCGTGAATGGGATTATATTTGTAGTCGAAGATGACCACGCGGCTGGCGCCGTGGATGTTCAGGCCAACCCCACCGGCTGTCGTTGAAATCAAATAGACTTGGTTTTCACCGCTGTTGAAATTTTTGACTTGCTGCTGCCTCTTATGGATTGGAGTGCTCCCATCCAGCCGAGAGAATTCTCTCCGCTGTTGTCTGAACAGATTGTCCAGATAATCCAGAGTCGGGATTGATTGTGAGAAGACGAGAACTTTCTCCTTCATCCTTTCGCACTGGTCCAGAATGCCGACGAGGAGCTGTACTTTCCAAGACAAGGCAGGCGAAGGCACATCCTGCTCTCGTTGCAGGATTTTCAGGCCCTCGCTGATGATTGTGCTTGACAGAGTCAGACTAGTCGGCTCTTTCTTCAACAACGCCGCACGCTCGTCAATAAGTCTCTTTTGCCAGCACCGAGGGTGGTTGACGATGAGGCTAAAGTTGATGTTTGCACCCAGAGTCTTGACGCCTGCAACGTCCGCGTCGTTGTTGAGGGCAGCGAGGAAAGCGTCGTAGAGCTTGCCCTGAATTGGTGTCATGGGAACAGTAAGTACAAATTCCATCTTTGGCGGAAGGTCGTTCTTAAGACAGGATTTGATTGTTGCTCTGTTCGTCTTGGGTGCTACAGTAGCCTCCAAAACAGCAAGTTGTTTCTTTGCCTTTCGATATTGACTTCCAGTGCTGTCCTCGTAGAGGCCAGACTGAATCGGTTCGGCATAGTAGTCCTTGAACTCTGACAGGGGACCCAGATAATTAGGTGCGACCCAGTTGATCATGCAATAGAATTCTATCACATTGTTTGCCAGAGGTGAACCGGTGAGTGCGATGCGTCGTTGAGTTTTGAACTTGGCGGCTGCGATAGCTATCAATGAGTCAGGGTTCTTCATTTTGTGAGCCTCATCCGCAACAACAAGGTTAGGGCTTTCTGTGAGTATTTGCGCAATCGACTTCTCCTGGGGTGTCGGCATCTCGCCCCCTAGAGGAGCGGCCAGTTTCTTGAACATGTCGTAGCCAATGATCATGACGCCGCCGGTTTTATCCCAGTCCCGGATCATGGGGGCTCTCTCTAGTGCATTGACGACGGCTTCCATTTTGTAGAAGTGGCCAAGAACACCATCAGGAGCCCACATCAACAACTCATCCATCCAGTTATCGACAAGCAAGGCCGGGCAAAGTACCAGAGTCTTGGATTGTCTAAGGTCTTCTGGAATTTGTGATAAAATAGACTCATCTTTCGATCGTGCGGCCTCGGCGATGGCAACAAGTAATGTGATGACCTGCATGGTCTTGCCGAGTCCCATGGTGTGAGCGAGGAGACATCCCTGCCGCACCTTGGCGTCGTAGACGATCTGGTTCCACAGGAAGCGGACACCTTCAATCTGGTGGTCCTTGATGCGTTGACCGATTTCGCTGTTAATGTAGATCAGGCCTTCGTCATCTCCCTTGGTTTCGTTGATAATGAGACGTGACTTGTCGCTCGAGATGGTGTCGGATGCTGCCAGCTTCTTGCGCAATTCCTTTCGTCGCTGCTCCTGCTCTTCTCTCCGGCGTCGGTCACTTTCACGGAGATCTATAGCGGTCTGATCCATGGCTACCAAAGTCTTCCGTTTCTTAGACGGAGAAACTTCGATATCGTCGTCGGTAAAATCTCCTTGGGACTCCCCAGTATCAAAGCTTCCACGGCGGCCAGAGCTGCTGGCTCGGGTACCCTCAGGAAAGTTGGGCAGTATGCCAGTCTTGACGAATTGACAGAAATCCTCAAACTGATCTACCTTACCCTTTATCTTCCTGACCTTGATTTTGTTGTTGAGCCTTCTGGTGATGGTATTGGCAGCCGCCGGCTTACAGAGTGCAAAGACTCTGAACAAGCGGGCAATGACGGTGCCGAGCTCGACCGCACTTTCTTGGCTGTGATTTTCAGGCAAATCCTCAAGAGCTGCGATCACGAAGTCCGTCCAGATATCAGCGGGATCCATGCTCTGGATAACGCGAAAGAAGGCCTCTCTCCATCGCGGAGTAAGCCGTGAGATGACGCAGATCAAAAGTCGCTTGTTGTCTCCATGCTTTCTCCATATCGTCGGCGCGATGTCCCCAATCTTGCCATATTGGTCGAATGGGGTTTCTAGTTGTTCCTTTGTTGGCTGTTGCTGCTCGTCACCATCGCTTTCAGGGGCTGGCGTTGCGGCTGCCGATGCCCTTGGCTTTTCAGGCGTGACTAGAGAGATGAAATCCGCCTCGGGAAGCGCAAGCTCAAGCTCATGCTCGGAGGGCGCGGGCTCATTCTCAGGTTCATCCTCAGGCTCGGAGTCAACCATTGTCAAGTCGATTATGCCAAGGTCGGATTTCATATCGACCGGAGCGTCGGCTGGAGACTCGTCTTTGAGCAATCGCGGAGGTTGCGGCTCCTGCATTGGCACATCTTCAGGGTCGTCCAAATCCATGGGACTTTTTGGGCGAGTCGCGCTCGCCACGGGCGGGAGCGCGTTTGTCATATCGTCAACCCCCAATTCGTCATCATCGTCAATTACGAAGTCGTCATCGTCGTCGTCGTCGCCGCTGGTGATAAGGTCGCCATCCTCGTCAGAGAGATCGGGCCGCGGGGCTGGATTTGGCCGTTGCTTAGGCATCGTCAGTGGTCGGATGGGTTCGGGTCCTCGCAAGGTATCGAGAAGCCACTTTTCAGCTCTCCGGTCCTCGACGCTAGACTCAAGGCACCGTGCTTGTCTGCGCAGCTGATCTTCGGCCGGCCATTCGTTCAGCTTGATTTCTCGACAAAGCTTTTCTATGCGGTTGTTGAGAGCCTCGAGTCGAGATGTGGTACTCGCTATCTGTCGGACGAGGCCAGTGCGCCGGGCCTTGTTCCAGATGGCGTTGGCTTTCCAATGCTTTTTGATTAGTTTTCTCTCCTCCCAAGAGGCTTCAATCCGTTGTATTTCCTCCTTTAGTACACGTTCGACATCATCCGAAGTCAGGTGGTGAGACTTAAGTTCCATTTCTCGCTTTTTCTCCTCTTCCTCTTCCTCGATGGCGTCTCTTGTCTCTGTGTCGTAACCTTCGTCGTCATCGGAGTCCCCGAATACCGGAAGAATCTCGTCTTCCTCCTCAGGCTCCACAAAAGGAGACATACCATTGCGCAACAATATCAAAGACTTGTCGTTCATGCGCAGTAGTCGTCGCAACGCTCGGTGGACTTGCCGGCTGTGTCCGGTGGGAATCAAGCCCCTAGCAACGAAGTGGAATGTATTGCTGCCTTCATCTGCGGGGCTTGCACCAGGTGCAAGGCTTGACTGAGGGACTTGACGGCTGATAATAAGCGCATCGGGTCCAAAGTACGCCCCCAGATGATTGAATCTTGAGACAAGCTTCTGGTCCACTTGCTGAGTATCCGGATGTGTTCTTCTGGAGGCCGCAGGCGATGGAGAAGGCCTTATGCTTGCTTTATCGAGCTCCTGAGAAATAGCGTCGTCTGTTACAGCTGGGATGGCCGGCGATGTTTTCCCGCGGTTTCCGCTGGGGGTCGTATTCGACAAGGGTAGCCGGGTATCTGCTGTCATAGACTTCCGAGTGACAACGTCGTCGGCCGGGGTCCTGATAGGTATGTTGCCAATCCCTGTGATAGTACTGGTGATCAATGTTGGCGCCATCTTTCTCTTCTTCTGAGGCGGTTCGCTCGTCTGCATGTCTTTCTCTTCAACGACGGAGGCCAATGCATCTTGATCCGTGTTGACGTCTTGCGTTGTGATAGTCGTTGGAGGGTCCTCTGTGGTACTGGGATTTGGGGCTGCGGGCTGCGGTTTGCCGTTGATATGCAGCTCTAGCGAGCTTTCTTGGCTATCTGCCTCCTCTTTTGCCATTTCGATCTTCTGATGTCGATAACCGTGGCTTTTCGACTTGAGATAGTTGATGGCTTTGACAATCGTCATCTTGTGAACGATTTTGACGATGCCGAGGTCTCTGAGAAGACCGTCAAGAGGGGGCATAACATCTTCGTAGGTGAGAAGCGTCTCCCCGTCAATGTCATGCTCACGGAGTGCTTTTGCAAGAATTACCGGGTTGGGCCTCTTGCTCGTAAGTTTCGGATGCCATGGCCGACTTTCAGCGGTGCATAGCTCATGTACCAGCCGTTCAACGTCCCAGTTGAAGGGATCATCCTCATTGCCCTCCATGGTGGCTGTCGTTTAGGACATGAGGTTGGCTAGAAATTGACAAATTGATTAGCACCAGACTGAGGAAAGAGGGTATGAAGGACGCAGATCTCGGGCATGGGTAGTGAAAACAGAATTCACTGGTCAAGCGAGCTTGAAGCAATGTGTATGAAGGTAGATTGTGAGAGAAAAGGGCAAAAAGCTTGGGAGATAGCTGCAGTGATATGTAGCGACCTCGAAAGTATGATCCACCGGTGAAAGAATATGACGAAAGAACCAGTGTCGGGCTTTGGTTCGAGAAATAGACAGCAACAATCTTGAAGCCAGACTTACGGCGGATTTTGAGGCGGGTAACAAAGCGCATGAGTGGTCCTTGATTACTTGGTCGGATGGGTCGAATGCAGGGGAGAAGACAATCGTGCTGACTGCCGGTTTTCGGAACTTGAGCTGTATCTCTGAGTTCTGGACAGCCCGAGAAGTCTCGACAAAAACGAGGATGCGTTTGTTCCACCAAATAAGAGGTAGTTGACGATTGTGAAGAAGACCAGCCACTAGCAGAAGTTAAGTGGTGGATACGGGAAAGACTTTGTAAAGAAGTTACCGGCAGAAGGATGAGGCGGGTCTTCCAAATTTGGGTTGGGTCAGCGGGAGGGCGTATGAAAAGTGGTGATTGTGGTGGGAGGAAATGGTGGTACCAATCTCGAGGAAGTTGTAGGCATTGCCGCTTCAGTTGCCAATGTCGAATTCACGACGCGTGAGTCTGGAGAAGTCGCGGAAGTCGCAATTGACCTGCTCAAGCCCCACCTTCCCTGGTCAAGCAGGCCCGCAGGGTACCTCGCCTTAAACGCTCTGGATGAAGGCAATGTATCTTTAGGTATATGAAGCTAGTCCAAATAAAGTTAGATGACTTGCAGCACGTCCCCTTCAACACGTGACCGATCTTTCGGGTTTAAGATTAACTAAGACACCTTAGCAGAGGTCGTTCCTGCCTCTGCGAAGAGCCGAAGTCCCTTATCGGAGTGGGATGGAGGGGTAAATCGCAGGCACGGAACTGACCTCCAAGCTTCCGACCCCGCCATCACTTGGTTCGTATTTCCATGGGACGTCTTTTGTTGCCTTGAAGGACTCTTGCAGAAGACGGTCCGGGGTCACTTAGTAGAGTTCAAGCCGATTATCATCATTTGGTCTTGATGTCCAAATAGTTGCAAATATCGTTGAGCTTCCGTATAGCCTGATGTCAAGTCATTGCTTGTAAATTCTCCCCACTTAGATTGATCACGTCTTGTGTGCATCGTACCTGCCGGCTGAGGTACAGTGGGAGTACCAGCCATTTGAAATCCAGACCAGCAGTTCATGGTGGGGCAGCCGATTTCTCGTCACTCCCCCGCCAGACATACCTCACTGACATGAACACTCATTCCTCATCCGGTGATATTTGACTTCACATAATCTCAGTAGACTCGACAACTGGCTTGAGTCTCTGTTTGTTTCAGACAAAGTCAGGCCTGTCTTTTCACCACCAAAAAGGGTTTAACCTTGACAATCCGTCGCTGTTCCTACTCTCATTCGACTCAAATTATCCGACTTGCAATTATTAATCACGGAGGCGCAACTATACCAGCTCATCCAATTTCAGGACCATTATAGCTTGCAGTCGGAGCTCTAGACTCAGTCTCATCAAGGAAATTTTCACCAGCAGCATGGCAACTCCGACGTTGACGAGGGAGCAGTACCCGCCCCGGCTCTCCCAGTCGGAGCAAGACGCCCTCGTCCAGACCGTCAAGGATTGGGCTATCGGCAATGGCTTGTCAGTCCGGCCGCCTCCTACGGTCGTGACGCCGGAGTCGGACCCCAAAGGTATTCTTGCGGTAAACGTACCCGTAACTCTGTTCCCTAGTCCTTTCCCCAAGGGATGCTTCGAACAGGCGAGATCTGTGCAAAAGACGTATAATGAGCTCTATGCCGCCATCAGCAGGGATGAGGAGTTTCTGAGTGCCATGGTGGATGAGTATGTTTCCACTTCAGCTTGATAGTCACGCATCAAGTGTAGTCTGAACGACCATAGGAAATGATGCTGACAACGCGTAGGGTCAAGGGAGGCGACGACTTCATTGGCAAGTTGTGGGATACCCACGTGCGAGTGAAGAAGGAGGGATATACTCAAGTGCGTAGTCTACCGGTGCTTCAGGCAATGTGACTAATGATGTGCAGAGTCTCTCTCTGGGATTGTTCAGATCAGACTATCTTGTCCACCAGGATACCTCCTCAGGCGAACCTAAACGCCAAGTCAAGCAGGTCGAGTTTAACACGATAGCTTCATCCTTTGGTGGCCTTTCGTCCCGAACCTCGCTTCTCCATAAGTAATCTTACACATCTCGCAAGGAGAGAGAAACCCAGAATACTAAACGCACATAGGTTTCTTTCCGTGGCAGAGTACCCTCTGCTTGATCATTCCATCGAGTCAGGGTCACTCGACCTGCCCGAGAACAAAAGCGTTCAAGGCCTTTCCGGCGGCATCCGCGCCGCCTACGACGCATACGGCCCATCGGAGCTCGGCCACAAAAAGTGCGTCATCTTCGTCGTCCAGGGCGGCGAGAGAAACATATTTGACCAGCGCCACCTCGAGTACGCCCTCGTCAACGACGCCGCCGACCCCGTCACCGTCTTCCGCATCCCCTTCTCCGAGCTCCTGCAGCACACCACCGTCGCCGACACCCCCAAGCGCCAGCTGCTCTACAAGCTGCCACGAGACCCAACCAAGGTGTTCGAGGTTGCTGTCGCGTACCTGCGGTGCTGGTACGACCCATCCGACTACCCGGATGAGAGCGCCTGGGAGGCCCGCTACCACCTCGAGAGGTCGTCCGCCATCAAGTGCCCCACCGTCCTGACCCAGCTGGCCGGCAGCAAGAAGATTCAGCAGGTCCTGGCGACGCCCAGACCAGCAGCGGCGGCGGGTGGTGCCTCGCCTTCGGTCCTCGGCCGGTTCATCCCCGACGACGCTCCCAGCACGGCCGCGGTGTTTGAGACCTTCACCAACATCTTCCCGATGGACACCTCCGAGGCCGGGCTCAAGGCGCGTAAGATCGCGCAGGACCCGGAGCTATGCAAGAGCTACGTCCTCAAGCCCCAGAGGGAGGGCGGCGGCAACAACCACTACCGCGAGGACATTCCCGAGTTCCTGAAGAAGACGCCCGAGACGCACTGGGGTTCGTACATCCTGATGGAGCTCATCACGCCGCCCAAGCAGGACAACATCATCCTCCGCAACGGCAACCTCGAAGAAGGCGGCGTCATTTGCGAGCTTGGCATCTACGGCACTACGGTGTGGGATCAGGGCACCGGTAAGGTTGTTCACAACGAGGAGGCGGGCTATCTGCTCCGCACCAAGGGCGATACTAGCAACGAGGGTGGTGTCGCTGCGGGTTTTGGATGCATGGATAGCTGTACGCTCGTCTGAGGAGAGCACATCTGGCGGATTAGATCATCATAGAGCCGTTGAAAAGTTCCTATGCGTGACCTGAGTAAACATTGAAATGGAACAAATGGTTCAAGCAGCTAGAGCAAACGTAGCGCAAGATCCCAGTCAAGGCGCGAGTGAGAGGAGCAACCCATGGTATCAATTATCGTCCTAGAAAAAAAGAGTTTTCGTACAGCACGCCTCAACCAGCCCATTTATCAGGTCATTGTACACAAAAAAGATATAGGAAAAATCTCGATAGAGTGGAGATAGAGAGGAGGGAGGCCAGTCCAGGTCAAGGTCTCTTCAAGGGTACACTCGTCTGTCGTTCGTTTCGTACATGGCACAAGAGAAACTCCGTTTGTTGTATTGGGGTGCATTTACTCGCTGGCCTCGCCGCCGTTGTTGCCGGTGTAAGGACGCTTGAGGACCTCGATAGAGCCTGTGACCTGACGTTAGCGTAGCTCCATCTCTTCCTCGAAAGCCGATTCGCATTGGGATGGTATGTTGAGTGGGGAGAAGACGTACGCTGGATAATGCTCAGGGAGCTGCGGTTCTTGCCCTCGGCATCTTGGTAGGCGCGCATGGCAGCCTCGCCCTCGACGTAGACCAGAGTGCTATTACAACACGTTAGCACACTTTGAAACCCCTCAAACACCTTTTATCCTTCATCTCTCTCCGCCTCCCCCCAAGCTTATCATTGCGGTGTGGATGTGAGTGCATGCGTACCCCTTGGGCAAGCTCTGAAGGAAATCCCGACGGGGACCCTCAGCCTCAAAGCTCGTGACACGGAACCAGCTGGTCTGGCGGTTATCCTTGGGCCCGCTGTTGCTGGCGACGGCGTATCTGATAATCTCGCGGCCGGTGCTGGTTGGGACGACCTCGGGGGCGTCGGCGAGGTTGCCGACGATGGTGATGCGGGCGACGTTGTTGGACGGGGTGGTGCTGAATGCGCGGGCGGCGGAGGCCATGCGCGGGGCGACGGCGGCGCGGCGGAAGAGGGCGGAAGCAGACATCTTTTTTTTTGGTTGCTTGGTTTGTAAATGTGTAGAGCAAGGAACGCTTTGGTTCAAGGAGTGTCGAGAATGTGAGGTGTAGGACGGCAAAAGATGGTGTTGAGGTGTCGAAATTGGCGAGATACTCGTTTGGGGGGGAAGCTACCTTAAAGTGCCAGTGTGGGAGCTGTCGATTTCGTTCGCGGTGGGCGCGTTCCATCGACGCGGTCCAGGGGAAAGCACACGGCACCTCAGCTTGATGCACTGTAAAAGTGGCTCGTGCATAAGGCGCCAGGTCCCGGGAGTTTTCGTATTAACCCCTGAAATTGGATCTCATTATTCCTATAGCGGGGTTGTTTAATTGGACTTAATCGCCTTACCGGAAGTGCCAAAGGAAGGATGGAGAGTAATCAACCTTCACATCGTCTACCTATCTTCGTTGTGCTTGGAAGCTCCTAAGTTTTTGTCTTTGATGAGGAATCTTATTAAAACTCCTTTTGTATCTCATAGACAGGGATTATCTCCAAGGCCAATCAAGATCTTGATGTGAATACAAGGCGATATACGGATACAGAAAACAAAAAAGAGTTCACCACCGGCGTGGCTACATCTCTTGATGCTCATGCTGGGATTCGAACTCGGGTACTCTCGTATGCGCTGAGCCTGTCGTCGAGTAGGCTGGTTGGCGTGAATAATTGGCGACCATGAACCATTCCACCACCCAGCCAGTTTGACCTGACCCCCCGACCTAGAGGGACGCCTGCTGTGCTGGTGACTAGACTGGAGTTGAGGGGGTACATATGGGCTTCCCTCCTGCGTGTATTCAGGTTTCTCGTGTATATTCCAGTGCTGTATCATATCATAGTTTCGTAGATGCCTTAGGTAGGTAGTTTCAATGTACCTTTGCGGGTGTTCGGCCAAATGAATAGGACTGGGGGCCATGATATCGTTCTCACTCGCTCTCAGGATGCATATTTTACATGAGGACGATACATGCAAGGTCGAGCTTCCTACCATCGCGCCGAGCAAGAGGCGGCACGGAAACGACATGGCATCTCAAAGGATACCGCACACAGCTAATCTATGCGTTGTAACACGCAGGAGCACTCTAGCCGTGCTCGTGGACAAGAATGAGCATAGCCAAACGCAGGTTGAGAGGTGGCACATCAAGGACGATGCACTGAGAGGAACAGAGATTTGCATAGTTGAAAGAAACGAAGTTTTGAAGCACATCAGGTATCTAAACAAATTACAGGGGCCCCCCGAGCTCATGTGCTCCTACTTCATCATCCCGACGATAGACGGGTTCCCCTCATCTCAGGATCGCTCCCATTCCGCACGTTCTGGCATATAAAGCACATAGGTTCACCCAGAAGGTGAACTTGAAAAAAAAGCGTATAAGAAATCATTTGCTTCACATTTCGTAACTGTCCCAGCCAAGGGATCCTTGAACTCCGCGCCATGCCTTGGTATAAGGTAATAGTAGTAGTAAGGGGTGGGGGTTGGAAAAAAGAGTAAAATAACCCGGGTAGTAGTAAATGGATATCGAGTGCCTGATGAAGAAGTGAGGCTACGGTCGTATAAGCTCATGTCGGTTCGTCCCACAGGCCGCGGCCGATCCGTGATTAGAAAGAGTGTACGATGAAATACGAAGTCGAAGGGAAGAAGGTTGTTAGGCAGAGGACAGACAATAAAGTCGCCTTGCCGTATTATGATGCCATCACGGCGGTTGCCGGCTCCATTGGCAGGCTTCCAGACCTTGAACCGCCAGGTGTGCTAGGAGCAGGCGCAATTTCCGGATCTGGGATTTGTATGTCGAGCTTTTCCTGAGTTAGTACAGTATTGCACGTGGGTTCGGCAACTTGAACTTACTGTCATGTACCCCGTCTTCCTCAGTGAAATAATTCGCGGGGCCATTGAACTGTCTTCATTGCCGATTGTCTTTTCCATCTCGTTGTTCCACTGGTCAATCCAGCGTTCCAGGCGCTTCAGCCGAGCTTTCACACCTGTAAACCCCAAATCATCCCACAACCAACCCGTAACGAGTCCGAGCATGCTATCGACCACGTTTCTCCAGTTGTATGGGCTGAATATAGGAATGAGTTCGCCGTTGAGCTTGTCGACAATCCTCCGGAACTCTTGTTCTGACAAGCCGGCCGGATCCAAGATTTCAGGATACAAGTTGGAAAACGTCGGAGCCAAGTCTCCCTCGATCAACCAGTCTCGGCGTATGCGGATGATTCGAGTGTTGTGGTACTCTGGCGAGTCAAGAGGAACGTGAGGATTCATATGGGGGAAGCAGGGGTGTTGTGGACCCCATTCTTCGCCCAGATCCGGCGGCAGTTCCTCTCCCATAATCGACGAGTTTGAAGATGAAATGGCCGACCCAATGCCCATGCCATCGCCAGCCGACACATTTGAATGACGTGGAAGCACATCTGGCCCGCGCTCCAAGTCCTTGGAGACCCCTCGTCCCTGATTCTCTGCGCCTGGCTCCATGGATGCCTTTCCTTTCCCTTTGTCGTTGAGTGTTATGGCAAAATCTCGTATGACTGGGTCAGAAATACTCTGCCCACGTTTCCTCAAACCAGTCACTCGGGTCTCGGCAGAAGGTTCCGCAGGTGCTTCTTCTTCCTCGTCGGCGGGGTGAGCGTCGGGATCCAAGAATGTTGGCGAAGGATCAGCGGACCTTCGTCCGTCGTATGAATGGCGCACTGATGGTGGTAGGCTGATGCGATGCTCTGCACCACTCCCACTGCGGTCGATTTGGAGGCTATTTCGATTCGATGTCGAATGTCGCGTTTGGCGCTGCTCCGGGAGAGTCAGCAGCGGATAGTCGCTTGCGCCGATGCCGAGAGGGTCAGCAGGGTCGACGGACAATGGATCGAGAGTCGGATGCGAGAGAGGAACGGCGGGGGGAGGCGGTGTCGAGGGTCGTCGTTTGCGAAGAGCTGGCTTATCGGGAAGGCGTGGTGTAGAGTTGGTTGGGTTCCAGAGACGAGCAGCGGAAAGGTGAGGAAGTCGACGGGCCGCAGAAGAGGCGGCGCGATTGCGAAAGGGAGACTGCAGGAAGTACTCTTTGGGGTCGTATTGGCGTAGCAGGGATGGAGTGTGAGCTTGGGGCAGGGCGGCGGCGTGGGCGGCTACTGGAGTCTGGAGGTCAGGCGAAGCGCCGGGATATGTGGGCTGCTGCGAAAGCGTTGTGATGCGAGGATTTGCGAATGCATCTACGGTGGCCGGTGACGAAGAATTGTTTCTCGCGTGTGAAGCCGTGGGGAGAATGGTTCGACGAAGGCCGCCGTGAGGACGACGGCCTTACGGGGCACGGTGGAGAACGGGTCTTTTGGTTGTCGAGGAGTTTGCAGCAGCGCCTGGGCCAGGCTCGTCGAGGTCGCCAGGGCCTCTTTAAGCGGCAGCGGCAGAAACGACAGCGGCGATGTCGACAGCGAACGGAGCGATTGAATTGGTCGCCGGGTTGGAGGGGAGGTTGAGGGGATGGTATTGGGGAAAAGTCGACCAAGGAAAGCGTCGCGCAGGAACAATGGGTGCAGCAACAGCCGCAATAGTCGTAGGTGCAAAACGATTAGGTTTGCAGTTAGATATGTGGAGACCCGGACAAAGAAATGCGTAGGCGACGACGTGCGGACGGTGGCTCGGACTGCAGCTTTGGCTTTCGCTTGAACGGTGGTGGTGGTTGTTTTAATGCAAGCGTGGGCAAAGCGTCCAATGGTGAATGGCAGAGGGAGAAGCGGACGAAGAGCGTGATTGGTAGCAGCAGGCTCAAAGGTCAAGGCTGTGGTGGTTGTGGATGTGGATGCCCGTGTGGATGCAACGGTGGTGGTGAGGGCGAGGGTGGTGGTGTTGGATTTGAACCGAGGAAGCAATGGATAATTGCTGCAAGTAAAAGTAGTGAATAATGTGAATAATTGCGCCCGAATAAGAGTGCAGGTCGTCCAGAGGTTGCAGCTGAGCGGCGACTGTGAGGCGGCCGTGGAGTTGTCCAAAGTGGAGCGCGCGTTCAGGGGGGAGGAGATGGCCGAGATTGGGTTCCTGGAGGCTCTGGCTCTCAGTCCCAGCATTTTGGGAAGCCGCTCGCTGGAGGGAAGCAGGGGGGAGGGGGGACCTTCCTTGAAGTTCCCTCCACTGCCCTGAACCCGCGAAACCCGCCCACTCTTACCGGGCAGTTGCCAGTGAGCAGGCAGGAACTGCGCTTTCTCTGCCCGGAAGGTTGGGAAGGTGGAAGGAAGCCTAGTACGGATAGGAACGTCGGGCTAGGCTCTACCTTAGCTTCTTCCCAAGTTCCTGCTCGTTGGATGCCGCAATGCGCAGGAACGGACGGCAGGATCGTCCTTTCTCTGTGACTCTGCGTTGTGGTTCCTGGCTCCTTCCTGCTGCTCGAATTGTTTGGTTCGGATCCTGTTGGGCCGGGATCAACGTTCCTGCAGCTCAGTGCCCACTTCACTCCAGCTGCACTTTTCAAATTCGTCGCCGTCGTTTGGACCGTCGAACCGTCGTATATTCGATATCGTCGATACCTCTTCCAGTCGTCGTCTCTTCTTGATGCTGCTTCGTCGTTCAAGCTATCCCAACGTCTGTTCACTCATCCGCCGGTCTTTCGTGTCCTTCTCCACAAGAAACAGAAAGTACAGCCAAGTGTACCAATGTCGTCGTCGTTGCTCAAACGCTCTCCCGCTGTGGAACGAACAGTAGGGCTGTTTGATGTCGGCCGTGGAAACTGTCGCAGGAGGGATCGTGGGTTGGAGAAAGACAATCGATGAATGTTAAAACCAAAGTTTCCCGTCAGGCTTCACAAGCGGAGTGGCGCAGGATATATCGATAAACAGTGACCTTGCGAAGCGGTTCCTGTTACAGATACAGGATTTGAGGATTCCGCCGGTGCTTCATCCGTCGTTTTGTGGAGGGTCTTGGGTCTTGAGTCTCGCACCAACGACGAAAAAGGCGGAAAAAAGAAAATCTAGACACGGCACGACACGACACGAGATCCTCCAACAATCCGTCCCCAGCCCGTCAATATATGACGACGGCCTGCCTCGCACACAGCTACCACCTGACTTCGATGGCGTTCAGCCTGGCAGGTACCTCCCTGTCTTTCCAGCCAACGTCCAAGGTGCTTTAAATTGTCTATTTTCGATCCTGCAGAG